AATTTCTAAAATTGCTTTACAATAACAAGAACAGTTATAGGCTTTTAGATTAGATAAACATGTTAATAGTCTTAAAAATGGTAGCAAACAATCAACAGCTGTGTTGAAAGTGACAACTGATAATACAGTTTCATTACCAGTAGACTAGTTTCTTTTCCTAGTCTTTTCACACAGTATTTATGCATAAGTAAGCCTGTAGTATGGGGCCACTGACATATAATTTATATCATATGATAGCTTGGTTATTCTGGTAACACTATTCATGCAGTGGGACCATGTTAAACTGCTGTACAACGGATTATTGTATCACTGCTTAAATGGCTTGGAAACAGCTACACTATGATGCTTGTGTGGTACATTATATAGGGGGATTTATTTCAATGTTTTTTTAAATCTTTGAATTGTTGAAATGTTCAATGACCTACTTATGCAAAATTCTGATCTTGCACCTCAAATCACAGTTTGTGTATGAAGCTACACTATGGTTGGACTTTGATCTTAAGTAGCACAACTCCATATGTATGAAAGAAATGCATATATATCTATAACTGTTGCCCGTGTTCAGTTAATTTGGTTATTTTCAGTTTAAAATGTTTCATTGTTAGTCTATACACTTTTTCATTGACATTTGTGTTTACAATGTACATTAATAAACTTTTCGAAGGACTTGACCTTGAAAAATACTTTAAATCACCATAATGATGTCACAGGATACTCCCATAACACGCTATTCCATACCACTAACAATTGTTTTCCTATATCTCCCATTTTTTAAATATTTTTCAGTGTGGTATGCAGGCATACCATGAATTTTCTACCTTCTCATTCTAATGTAGACATTTAAAAAAAATCTTTATACTGAGTCTATGCAATTTGTGCATAACACAAGGTCCAGAAAACTTTTGATTTCATTGTAGATACCTTTATTCTTTGTCATTTCCTTGGAAAAAAACACCTCGTCTATCCATGGGTAGGTGGGAAAGTATAATTTGAAAGCTGCACCTTGTCCATGAAGGTCAACAGCAGAGTCCGTCAATAGTAAGTCAGGGGGAATTTGGAATTTATGACCTTCATCAGGTTTCAGTTGGCTTGACCAACAGTTACATAGATTGTACAAGCATCCGGAAAATATAGTTATAGAATTTGGTATATAATACTAAAATTCCTTAGCTCTCTCTCTCAAGTTCAAGTCATCAATTCGGATTAAAGTCCTTTCTTTAAATAGAAATCCTCAACTAAAGTTTAATGAGTAAAATTAACTAAATCTTAATACATATTTTAATAACTTCTATCATCTGTCCTGTACACAAATTATTTTGAGTGTGAATTTCAGTATTGTTCATTGTGTTTTTGAAAATATGTGTGTCCAGTTTTCTTTCTCAAACTCAGTAAGCCTCAGAGAAATTCAATATCACTTCATAATGTATCTTGCTGATTCTTCCATCTGTAAAGCAGGCCTACCTAACTCCATTTGTGGGAATCAGTTGATCTGAGAATACTACAGAATAGGGAGGAAGGAGAAATTTTGGTACCGTGACCACAGGATATTATTATCGAGTTTTACAAGGCTACATTTTTTTATGGGAATGAAATATTCTACAAGTAGAAATACTCATGATTAAGAGGAAGATCTGGTCATTTAAGGCAAATGGTGGCCCAAGAGCATTGTTGGGTCATGGAGAAGACCTCTCCTGGACATTGGGCTTTTGTTTATGTTGCAAAGATCAATGACTTCTTTCTTGTTGCTGCTGTATACTCAGAAAAGAGAACTTCCAGAATCTGGTGCACCAAGATTGGCTTATCAAATTCACCCCTGAGGATTTATCTCAGTGTGAGGGAAGTAAAGATAATGGAGGCAGAAAGACTAGAGGTGCAATTGGAGGATGAAGCCTACCAACAGGAGCGATCACAACAGCAGGGACCATAAGTGGTGAAGACAGAGAAACATGGGAAAGTCGTAAGCCTCTTTGACCTGGGAGGTATCTTGCTAGTACAACCACAGACCATGAAGAGCCTGTGGACAACTTGTTACTACGCTACCGTGGACCTGGGATTATCTACTTGTCCAAGAGTAGAAATTCCTGTGCATGCCTACTGCAGTATACCCCAACATTTAGGACATCTCAGCCAGGTATTGGGCAAAAGTCTGGGGTATAAAGGCTAATGATGCCCTCACAGGTCTCTTTGAATAAGGCTAAGCAGAGTTATCTCCAGAGGTTTAAGGCTACAGCCGTGAAAGGTCTATACCACTTCTTTACAAATTTCAGGCTATCAAGTGTTGTTACTAATACGATGGGCCCGGCATGGCCAGGTGGTTAGGGAGCTCGACTCGCAACCTGCGGATCGCGGGCTCGAATCCCCGTCACACCAACCATGCTCGCCCTTTCAGCCGTGGCGCGTTATAATGTGACGGTCAATCCCACTATTCGTTGGTAAAAGAGTATCCCAAGAGTTGGAAGTGGGTGGTGATGACTAGCAGCCTTCCCTCTAGTCTTACACTGCTAAATTAGGGACGGCTAACGCAGATATCCCTCATGTAGCTTTGCGCGAAATTTAAAACAAACAAACCAATACGATGTACACACTACATTTTCTGCTTTTCCACATGAACATTATACAGTTAGGGTGTTTTATTAATTGTATGATTAACAGAGTTTTATTAAAGGATGTATCCACTAGATATATATTTTTTCTGATGTAAGACATCATCTGAAATTTCTACAGAATCACTTTCTTAATCTAGCTTAGTGGCAAAAACTCTATAAAACACACTGCTTAGTACTCACTAGAGTTTTCCTTAATATACTTTTAACATATACCATTCTATAACCAGTAAGGGAGATGTGTTTAGTAAAAGTATGAGTATTACTTCTGTTTGACTTGAATTTGAGCTGGAATGTCTTAGTTTGGATGAATTCTGCTAAGAAGTATTCATTTTGTGATGCCAGAAATGAAAAATGAGTTGAGGTGATGGCTTCTAAATGGCAACACATTATGCAACCGTTTCTTATGAGAATTAACTTCTGAAGATAACCTAAAAAGGATGTTGAATTAATTCATGCAGGAGCTAAAAGCTGTCTGTTATAAGATATTGGAGTGTGTGATAATGTGTAATAGATATATGTAGATAGCAATCAGTATACATATATAAATAAATATTTGTGTGTGGTCTTGCATGCATATACGTACATATACATTTATATAAACATTAAATAAAGTAATTTGTAAGTGTTTTATAGCTCAACTGATTTAGTTACACAAATAACACAACAATAAGTAACATGTGCATGGAGACAAAGGATAACTGTAGTAACTGACCTGAAAGGTATCATTTCAAAATACACTGTGCTTGTTATTTTCATCAATACTTGTAAAAGATTGTTTCAGTTTTGACATTGAAATATTCAGTGGGTAATGATATTTCATGGTAGAGTCAAGAGTAACAAAGAGATTCATATCACAGCTAGAGAATACACAGTTTTAACTTATGTTTTCCATAAAGCGTACTACAAGATATTTCAATTGTATCAAATTGAAATATTCATGAGCAGGTGAAATTCTCAGTAGTGAATGAAATTAATGGACATTAGCTTAGATATCATAACAAATATAAATTTGGTACAGTCAATGTTTCATTTCGTTGTAATAAAATATTTTCAGTCATGCAGATTAAAATATTTTAATGAGCACACAAATGAATATTTTCTTAACATTGTTTTAGTAATAAATCATCAAAATACAAATTCTAAATGTACTAGAGAGAGAGAGATGGAAAGTAACACATGCGTGGTAAAAGCTTTAAAAGTTGCACCAAAAACTTGTAACTGGAAAAAGTCCTTAAGGAGAGAGAACGTAAATATTAGTGGATTTGAATGGTCAAAAGTTAGGATTGGCATCAGCTAATCCAAGTCAACTCATGTTTATAGGAACCAGTTTTACAGGCTCGACCCTCATTTCTTTAACTGGAATCGGGAATTATCCATGTGACAACCAATTGGTATGGAAAGATGTGAGGCTAGGTTGGAAGTGAAGCCATGTTGGCTGTTGTCCAGCAGAAATGACAGAGGGCAGCATGGCTGCAGGTATTGGTTAAGTAGATACCCAATGAAACCTGGAGGACTAAGAAATTCACAGGTATTAGGGATATATTTTTTATGGGTGAAATGTGGCCCATAGTTATGTCTCTTAATCAGTTATAAAATTTTGATATTCTGTTTGTAAAGGTAGTTTAGAGAAGCACATGGTTGTAACTAAACAGTTATAAGATTTTACAAGCTACATACACATTGGACTGAACTTCTGACCAATTGGAATTCATCCCACCACACATTTATAATCCTGGGTTTTACCATTTAAGATCAAACTCTTTAACCTTCTGGCTATTTTGAGTTCCAAAGTAAAGATGTGGAGGAAAGATTATTACAGTTTTTGGTAACTCCAGGCTAGGGAGCTGACAAACCACAGGCAGGCCCACCAAGGGGCCCATGAGAGTGATAAAAATGTGTATGTAATGTATCAATTCACTATGGAACATTTAATCAAACATTAACTGCTCCTTCAATCACTTGTACATGTGCACAGCATCATTCCAAAAACTATTCGAGGGGGAGCACATACCAATTCGTCTCCAGCGCCCATAATGACTCATGGTGATCCTAACCACATGAATAGTCTTACTCTGACACCAGGATTATCAGAAATGACTTTTGTGGTGTGATTTTATAGGCTCAACTTGTAAATACTGGGGAGCTGGTAGCAATCAAGAGGTTTAAGAATGAAGAGTTGCAGATTATAAGATGATTAGATTAATGTAATTTGTCCGAATTAAGTACCTTTTTTACTCAAATGGTGAAGTGCATCTCAGTTTGGTGATGGAATTATTCTTTAACTTGTGTATAGAGTAACAAAATATAATAGTAAATCAAGGCAAACTATATCAATATCATTTGTTCAGTTGTACATGTATCAAATGTTTCACAGTTTAGCCACTCATTCTTTAGGAATTTGTCATCGAAACATCAAACCATGAATTTTTATTTGATCCACACACAGGAGTTCTGCAGTTACTGTGAGTGTTCAGATGTATTCCTTTTTATTTTATTCATTTTAGTCAAGACTTGTGTTAAAAAGCTGTTTTTATGTGTTTTGGTTGTGTATATATGCATATAATGTTACTTTCATCATGTATTAAATTTTAGAGAGTTTTCCTTTTGTATGTGTCTTATATTTATATATTTTTCTTTCTAAAGGTGCAATGCTTGCCAACTGCTGTATATAAGTACATAACTGTAGCTTTGCGCGAAATTCAAAACAAACAAACAAACAAGTACATAACTATTTAACTGTTCATGAAAATATTGATTTTATTAGATTATAGTATTAGATTAGAAAATATTAAATTATAGTTCTAGTCATGTAAATAATTAATCATATTTGCTTATGTTATACCTTTTTTCTTTTCTGATCATGATGATTTGTACAGGTATATCAATGTATATGATGAGAGGAATTGTTTTGACATGGTGTATAGCTTGCAGTCATTGAGTTCCTTTTTTGTGTGTGTGGATTTTTGTCAGGTGTTATTAAAGGGATATTTTATATCTAACATAACGTTTTCTTTCATTTTACCATTATAAACATTTTGTGTGTGTTTTGTTTTCATTTTTGTCAAGACTTGTGTTAAAAAAGTTTTTTTATGTGTTTTGGTTGTGTATATGTGAATATAATGTTACTTTCATCGTGTATTAAATTTTAGAGGGGTTTCCTTTTGTATATGTATTATATTTATATATTTTTCTTTCTAAAGGTACGATGCTAGTTAACGCTGACTTGCGTGAAATATAATAAATTCTCAATAGTAGCAATAATGTTTATTATATGGTTGATATAATATTGCATATTCTTTGCTTTCACTTAAAGGGTATTTATTTCTTTTAACCATTGTTGAATTGCATTTCTTGTTCAAAGGGGTTTCCTTTTTCAATTGTAATCTGGATTATATTTGTTAAAGGATTATGTCGTGTATGTTACGTGTGTTTACAGGGGTAAGCGAAAGTCATACACTTCTTCAACACATTGTGAATGTAAAGTTAATTGGCTCTAAAGTTAAGTTTAATTACCGGCTTGAGAACAAGTCCGAAGCAAAGAAGAAAAAAAAAGTGAAGTATGCAGTTTTCGTTTATTCTGAGTCTATGCAGTTTTTGCACAACATATGGTCCAAAAAACGGATTAAGCAGATTTTGTTCTAGCTGCCTTTCTGCTTTTTTATACTCTTGAAGATAGGATCTCATCTGCCCATGGTAGAATATAGCTGTAAAACTGCACCTTTTGCATGAAGTTTGACAGGTGGTATGTCAAAGCTACAACCTTCATAATGTTTCAATGGATTATAGAATCTAGTATATAATATTATGATCTCTTACTTGGCTTTCTCTCAAGTTCAAGCCATCAATTTGGTAAGTAAAGTTATTTGTCTTAAATAGGGATACTCTCATAAAATGAAATAAGTATAGCTAACTAATTCTTTATAAACAATTTCATAAGTTCTTAGAAGAGTTTAGAGAGGCAACATTATAGTAAAGGCTCTGCTCTTTCCCCTATACATATACTATTTTGATTGTGTTTTTAAGTTTAAATAATTTTAGAGGAATTCAGTGTCACTTAGTAACTTATTCTTCCAATCTTCCTGCTATAAAGTAGGCCTGTCTAACACTCTTTGCGGAAATCAATTAACCTGAGAATACCACACCTGTATGTCTGTCTGCGGTAAATGTAGATAAATTTAGGGAATAATCATAAATTATAATAATGGTATATCACAAATTAAAGACTTTGTTAAACATCCAAATAATTCCTGAACATTAATGAACATGAAAATACATCACTGAAAGAGACACCAATAATGATAGGTTCCATTGAACATTATAGAATAACTATATCCACGTTTTAAAAAACAACAAAACATTGTTCAACATTGAAACTGAACATGACATGCATTATTGGAATTAACACACCGTTAGGTAATAAATACATTAATGACATCACTAAAATGGTTAGATTTCAATAAAGAATCGAACATAAAAGACGAAATTATTTTTAAGGCCACGGTATTTTGTTTGATTTATAATATTTTAATGGGAGCCATGTAATCATCCCACATTCAATACGAAAACTTTAATTGTTACAGACTTTCAAAATAAAAGTTACATGTTTTCAGTATCTGGTATGAATAACTTTATTCTTAACAAAAACCTAGTTTCTCAGGTACTGGTACGTGATTATTTCTGTAGTTGTAATAAATAAATCTTAACTCTTAAATTTCTAACTTGTTTACACACCGTTCACTCTTAGCGGGGTTCACGTATCGCATCATATTAAGTATTTTTTAGGTCTATTCCTGTTACTATTAGCATTTACTGTGCAATGAACTGACGGCAAACAATTACTTGAAATCACTGTTGTTGTTGTTGTTGTTTTATGTAAAATACATAAAAACATCATGACATGGGCAGTAAAGGATGCCCGTAGCGAGAGGGTTAAATCAGGTCAATACTCTCTAACCACCTTAAAAGTTATTGTATTACATGGTTATTAAGCCAGTAAAGACATCTGAGATAATTTCATATGGCTACTAAACTGTCTTCAGTAGTACATGAAACTTCCTACTTCCTACTGATAGATCTGGTCATATCAAGGTAAAGTGTAAATATCGTGAATGGACTATTTCTACTTTAGGAAAACCACTTATAATCTGTTGACACATCTGAAGGTAAGCCTTTTTATTATTTTTGTTAGTATGAACTATATTCTATGTAAATTATACACTATAATATAGATAAACTAAATTGATCATGCGTGTTGGACTATATATTTATTTTTTCATTTATTTAGTATTATATGTTTTTATTATTTTCATTATAAACTATACATTATATAACTGATATATTTATTTATTATGATATATTTTTATTATTATAAACTATATTCTATAGTTAAGCAAAATTTCTAATGTTTTGGACTATATTCATAATTTTTATTTATCATTATATGTTTTTGTTATTTTTATTATAAACTATATTCTATATTATATAACTGAGATTCGCTTTTGTATTTTTAGCTAATCATGAGTTAGATAGATTCTCGGTATATTCTTCCCAGTCGCAAGCATCTGTCCACAATATTGATGGAGAGCAGGTTTGATAAAGTCCAACAAAAAGCATCTTCTAGCCAACATCAATGTCACTATGGATATCTGGAGTAGCAGACAAATGCGCAATTTTCTTGGATCATTTGATACTTGACTGGAAAATGCAAACAATCATGCTGGTATGTCGGCGTTTCAAGGGGCGTCACACATCTGATAACATTGCAGCTTAATATGATGAAATAAGGTATTCTCTTTAACATCAACAACAAGGTGACATATGTGACATCTCATAACGCATTCAACATGACCAATGCTTTCTGTTTGCTTGGATTTGAACCGCAAACACTATCTAGTGTGAGAGATGGTGATAGCTGATCTACATATAGTAACTCAGAAGATGAATTTTAGGATGAATCTAAATCAGCAAACAACTTATCCAAATTTTTTCCTGAACATGAACCCTGCTTTTCCCACACACTACAGCTGATGGTCAGGGATGGCATGAAAGAAACTGGTCCACTGCTGAAAGGAATTTCCAAAGAATCAGCCATCGTGTCCTACATTCGAAAATCAACAGAAGCAACTGATCTACTTGAGGGAGAGGCCAGAGTTAAGTCGGTAACACCAACACACTGGAACTCAGAAAATAATATAATTTAGTCTTTATTAAAGATTTCCCAAGAGAAGTTGGATAATCTAGATACTGGTACATCGAAACTTACTTTTAATGATCGAACTGTGTTTGCAGATTTGATGACAGAATTCACCCCAGGTCAAAACATTGTTACCGCCAGTTATGTAGTACCATGTATTTATGAGCTAATGACAGAATTCGACAGCATGCAATCCAGGTATAATTTTAATCTTGTCTCTGCACTGAATAAATCTGTTCACGCCCTGCTATGACCAACGAAGTGTCTTCTGCTTGGCTGCGATATTGGATCCCAGATTTAAACATAACTGGTGTTTCACTAGACCCGAGGTCTATGAATCCAACAGAATGCTCCTGCAGCAAGTAGTCAAAAAAGTTTCCTCAACAAATAATCCTACAACCAGGGAACCAAAAGAGAACTGTAAATCCCCCCCCCCGCAAAAAAGTAAGCTTTTTAATTTCTTTGCTGCGTCCAAGAAACCAGCCACCTCATCTTCAGAGGATACAGGGGGGTCAATGCCTACCACGATGGTCTTTGCATTCCTGAAAGCAACCATCTAGATTATTAGAAGATCGATGAAAAAACTTTCCTACCCTAACTCTACTAGCCAAACGCTACCTGAGTCTTCCCGCATTCTCTGCCCTGAGACCTAATCGTTGCCGCCTCACATTTGACAGATTGATGTTCATAAAGAACAATGGGCAATTATAATATCTATAATTATCCTTTAAAAATATTTTTATTATAAAACTTGTTATTGCATTTTGAAAAATAAAAGTATTGAAACGTTATTATTTGTTCAAATTTTGTTTCAGATTCAAAAACGTTTGTTTCATAAAATAAAAGTATTGAAATTTTATCGTCTGCTGTTTTATTATTATTGCATATTACCCGACAAAGTATTCATGAATACATTCCTATGTAATCGTATTCGTTTTCGTATTCATACAAAATTGAAGTATTCGTATTTGTGTTCTATTATTGATCTCTAGTATTCACCCCATCCCTGATATTGATTACAGAAAATCAAACTACACAAAATCGAACAAAAAAGTATTAAAAAAGTTAACAGTATTACACATGTATATTTTCACTAAATACTGAAGCAAGATTGTTGTTTAATATCAACGACTAGGATCAGGATCTTTAGTGTTATTGATTGCACTGGAAGTCTGCTGTCGTCAACAGCGTGTAGTACTCTCAAGAACAACAAAAACACTCCTGCGAAGTTGTTTGTACTGTGTCGTTTGTGCCAAGGACAGGAGTTTGGAAAGTCTACCTGCTCAGTGTGGTGACATTCCTTACAATAGATGAGAATATTTATTAAATGAAAGGCAGATGTAAAGCACGAGTTACAAATAATGATGTGATGTACTCCAAACGCAAGTGAAAAAAAAGGCCATTGTACGACTTTCTACTGATGTTTATGAAATATAAATACAAATCTTAGGCTCTCCAAAATGTCTTATTCGTAATTCAATTTTGATTATACCCAGATCTGGGTATATGAAGTAATTTTTTGTTTTTAGATGATCACTGGTACGAAATTTAAACATTAGTCCTTATAATTTATGTTGCCAATGTTTATATAGGTAATTAATTAGTGAAATTTAAGAAACATCTTATATTATATCCCACATCCTCCCGAGAAAAAGGCATCCCGAAATTAAAAAGAAAATGTAATAGGATCAAATTTTTGTTTAAGTTTTTTAAAACATTTTTGGTTATCCCTATTATTTGTACAATCAGGAACGGATTTATGATAACGCCATGTTGTTTTCAGCCTATCACGTGGTAAATTGTTGATGTCATCTTCCAGGTTGCTCGAGCTCGTTGTGCACCCCCTCTTGGAACACCAGAAGAGGGTGGCGAACGTACCAAATATTAAGGTATGGTACTTTTTCAGCCTGCCATTTTTGCTTGGTTTCTCTCTTCTCTTCACTTCTTGCTCTGACTACAGTGGCGCCGTCTAACCTCTCATTCTAGGACCTTCATATTATCGCATGCTTTGCACATGCACTACAACTTTCTGCTCTTTCCTAGGGTTAACATCTTCTTTTTACCTCTACTCTACATCTTAGTTACAACCACAGGTTTCTCATATTGAAAAGCATAAGCTCTATAAAACTTGCATGAATAAACAGTTTCTCTCAGTGTATCCCTTCGCCCTACACTTCCAACATTAAACATAGATTCTCTCAGTGTATCCCTTCGCCCTACACTTCCAACATTAAACATAGATTCTCTCAGTGTATCCCTTAGCCCTACACTTCCAACATTAAACATAGATTCTCTCAGTGTATACCTTAGCCCTACACTTCCAACATTAAACATAGATTCTCTCAGTGTATACCTTAGCCCTACACTTCCAACATTAAACATAGAAATGATTAAGGATTAACTCAGTGTCTCAACAATAAGAAAATAATAACCTGAATATTATGATATTATAAGTCCATCTATTGGTAGTAACCTTCCTTTAATGTTTACAAGTGCTGTAAAAAGGTCATGCTGCGCATAAGTTTCAGACTTTCATTAGAGTATTCGGTTTAAACTTTATCAATTTATTTGGTTCATTATTTTTCTGAAAATTAGTTTTATCTATTATCAACTTTAAATAATTATGTTGAAAGCTGAGTCAATCGATGATTATTATTTTTTATTATTATTAATATTATCTAACTATCTAAATCATACAGACTATGATTTTTCCGTAAATCTAGTTCCCTGCGGACTTACAATGCTTGAAACCGGGTTTCGATATTCGTGGTGGGCAGAGCACAGATAGCCCATTGTGTAGCTTTGTGCTTAACTTCAAATAAACAAAACTAAAATCTAAAATAATTTCTAAGGAAATTTTTCATACGCCTGAAAACGGTTATTTAACGGTTATTTCACTGTCTTTCACTTGACACAAAACCCTTAATGAAACGAAACAGAAATGTTGAAAAATTGTCGAATTTCCTCGTAGCCAGTTCCGACATATATCATAAATATTATTCTCGAAATTCAACTTATTGAATTGTTGAATTATTATTAGTGCAATATGAGCAAATATAATATTTTAGTATTACATTAAAAAGCTACATTTGAAAGTGCGTAAAAAGTAGTGGAAATTATCACTTCTATTTTATAATTTATTTACTTTCAAAAAAATATATATCAGCTATTTTGTATATATTCAAATTGTCATATTGCAAGTGATACATTGAAACTAAATGCTTTTTCTTTCGAGTTGTTACAGAAATTTCCCCTACGAAATGTAATTTTTCTAAAGCCATAATACTTTCCCACTTTACTTATTTCTGCAGTAAAATAATTTGTTTTTATCAACATGTCCTCTATGGTGGGAAACCTAAGATCATCTTAGAGTTCAAACGTTCGTAAGAACCAGGCGCATCTTAGATTCCTTAGGTATATAAATTTCATATGGAATCCAAGACCTTTTAGCAAAACAACTCCATTGTGTTTAATACAATCTCTTCACTTATCACTAACAAATGTTTTAATCTTCATCAACTTTAATTAACAGTGTTTTAATGGCATCACTGGTGTGGGTTGCTGCATTAATTTCAAATCACCCTCCAGAAGCTCTTGTATGTTTGTGTGTTTGTTAAGGCACGCTACATTTACTGTTACTATTTTGACCATACAGTTTTTAGAATAAATGAATGGATATATAGTACTATGGAGAATGTTAAGCCTAACAATATAAATCCAACATTAATATACTAAGCCTAACCTTAATAGTATATCGATAAAACAAGAATAATGCACATTTTAGGGTTAATACTATAAAAAAATTGTATCTGTGAAATGTTAAATTCAAGATTTAAAAAAAATGCAAGGATCATACTGTTGTTCTTAACTTCATTTTCATCAAATAAAAACTTTGTAACATAAGAGTGAAAAGAAATATAATACAAAGAATATGCGACGACATGAACTAAAAATAAAGTACCTCCAATAAATGAATAAATATCTAAAAATGTTTAATTTTGAACTTAAAATCCTATCAGCTTTCTTCAACCCGTTTTTTCAGTGGTTTGATATAAAGATATATTTTGAATAATGTTAATTATAATTTTCATAAGTTACCGAAATGTCGAAAAAATATTTTTTTCACTATTTGCAGGTATATATTCCGAAGTTCCTGATAAATTATTGTTTTTAAGTGATTATATTTATTCAGTATCTCTCTTGTATTGCTGCGCAAATTAGAATCTATCGTCCGTAATAACAAAGAGAAATATTTTGTATTCTAGAAAACATTTTATGTGGTCACGACCTGGTGGATAGGACATACAATCTGCGAGCCGCGGGTTCGAATCTAGTTACCGAAAATGTTCGCTCTTTCATTCGTGTGGACGTTATACTGTAACAGTCAATCCCATTATCCATTGGTATAGAGTAGTCCAAGATGGCGTTGTCTAACAGCCTTTCCTGTAGCCTATCACTTCAAAATTAGGGACTGAGGGTCTCGGGTTCAAATCTCCGTCACCGAACATGGTCGCCCTTTCAGCGTTATAATATTACAGCCAATCCCACTATTCGTTTGCGAAAGAGTAACCCAAGAGTGGCGGTGGGTGGTGATGACTAGCTGCCTTCCCTCTAGTCTTTCACTGCTAAATTATGGAAGGATAGCGCAGATAGCCCTCGTGCAGCTTTGCACGAAATTCAAAACAAGCAAACAAACCTTATGTTATCCTGCTGACAAAAAAACACAAACATACACAGGAGTGAAAACATAATCTCCATCACCTTCGGTGGTGGATGTAATTAAAGACAACTAACACGGAGAGCCGTCGCGAAGCTTTGCTCTAAATTAACAAAACAAAAAAAAAATATTGAGAAACAATTCTTTTGTTAATCTTGTCAGTATGATATGTAACTATTGTTGACATTATGTATTTTATAATGAGAACAAAACATATTAAAATATAATTACTTTTCAGATTGCAGTTTATAGCCCAGTGAATGTGTTGATTGATTTACATATTGTGGAAAGAGCACGGCTGGCCTTATTATGGTAATCTGGTATTAACTACGCTAAGGGGGTATAATGAAGTGGTAAAAGGATAAATGGAATGAAAGATTTTGAGTGATTTACTATGTTATTGAAGTTTAGGGGGCAAATAGATACCATTTTTCTTCTTTTACATAGCCCCCTAGTGGCACAGTCTGACTTACAACGCTAGAATCCGGGTTTCGATACCCGTGGTGGGCAGAGCATAGATAGCCCATTTGTGCTTAATTACAAACAAACAATCTTTTACATAATAATGTTTATTGACAATTACATATTTTGTTTTACTATATTATTAATACAAGTATGTGACCACTGTGGTAGCTGAGATTCTAACTTCAAGGGATAAATATTGCCGAGAGCTTTCCTAAGTTTTTAAGTATTTGATATACTGGTTAGAAAAGATTTAACAATCAATACAAGGGCACATAACTACATCCATTACCACACTGGTCTGATAACAGATACTAGGTCTGCATGTTATTTATTGTAAATGTATTCGAGACGATGGTTAATATCCATCTTGTTCGAGAAACAAACCCCCACACTTTCAAAACCCAACAGGTGAAGAACAACGGTAGACAAGTTAATAAGACTTTAAAGGTCTATCTTCAAAGCTTTTTTTTAATAGAGTATCTGGTCCATATTTTTTACCTGAGAAAGATATGATGCTACGTGGAAGTATTGCATCTTAAGAGGCCTTCATTCTTATGGGTTATAAGCTCCTAATTTTGTTTGAAGTTCTGTTTTACAGACCTGGTGTCATTTCTGATGTGAAACTTGAAAATAGAGGTTATATCTAATAAACGACTCCCCACTTCTATGTTGACACTACTTCAGATAGCTCTCTCAATAGGATACATTTTAACCATTTATCTTTTCCTTCTATGATATTTTTTCTCTAGAAGCAATTAGTTTACCACAACTAGCTGAACAAAGTAAATGGGAGTTTTATATGTAAGATGCTCTGGGCTTAAGTACCTTTATTTGTTCCTAATTTTGTTTGAAGTTCTGTTTACAGACCTGGTGTCATTTCTGATGTGAAACGTTTTAGTAGATCGGTATTTTCGCATCCATATGGCTTCGGTGCTTTCAGGATTTTTTTTCCAGAAATGAGCATTTCTCAAGGCTTTTCTTTGAGAGACACAATTTTTTCCATAAAATATTATGCTTTTATGGAAAACTTCTTCTCTTTGTTGCAAAATTTCCCTATTTTAATGAATTTCAGATTTTTCAGTCAGACATCAAACACAAGTTTTAATGAAGGATAGCTACAAACTGAAAATTTGCCACACAATGATGTTTACATCCAAACACATAACTCCATCTAAATGGTGCTATGATACCTGTGGTGGCATAAACACAGTTATTTCGTGACAGTAATCTGGCTTATGTTGCTCATGTAAAGCAGCTAAAGATTAATTTCATTGAACATCCCATGTTCAACACCATGGGAAGCAGAGATATGTTCTTATTTATGGACTTAATATGCCCTCATCTGCTTTGAGCTGGATCATAGGTCTCTAGTCTTTTCATTAGCCAAGGATTATAACTTTAACATTGAAAACAGATGAGACTGTTTACTCTAAGCAGAATTGTCTGTTTCTTTCAGGCACTTTGTATGTCTTACTTGTTGCAGCAATCGATTCCTGGAGAAGACCAATGTCTTGCTCTTTTCCACTCATTGATATTTAGAGTCAATAATTACATCTCTAATATATGACTATCCCCAGTAACGGTGCTCGAAGTGCTTTTCACTCTAGTTATATAATTCAAGTGTTTCAAGAACCCAGTGGACCATGGTTTTAGACTTTTCTTTTGACACGGTAGATTTTGTATACAGTTTTAGTATAGTTATGACCCACGCAGAATCAAAAACAATAACTCATTCTTCAATATAGGATCAAGATTTCTACAAGCCTCAGAGATGGGCTACTGAGAGTGCTTCTTCATTCCTCTAGACTGCCCAATTGTTGGTCATGCAGCCAACTCTTGGTTGGTTTTCATACTGCAGAATAACTTTCAGCAATACTTCCGATCTGACTGCCATATTTTTAGATGTTGATTAGTGTCTAACTACACGCTTACATATATCATTATGTAATCACAGCCTCCATGAAGCATGTGTTTCTCAGCACCTCCCCAGGAGCAGCAGGTCACTAAGGGCTTTCTGCTGTCGCAGTCGCGGAGAGAATGCATCATGTTTGAAACACTTCACTATTAAAATTACTTTCAAAAAGATACTTACCTATTATATAGTTATGTTTGCATATTTTGTAACAAATAATATCATTATTATTAAGATGGAATACAAGTACATTTAGAGCTGTCAAATTGAGAAATGCATGTTATATTAAACATCTACATATGAAATTTGTATGATGAGACAGGTTCTATGGATTTCATGAACGATTTAATAGAACAGCAAACAATTTTATCAGACACTTGTAGAAAGACGTGTAATTCAACATTTCACTTATCACAACAAAATTCTACCAAAACATATATAACATCAATTATTGTAAATAGCGTCTATAACCTTATATCAGTTCATATTACATTCAGTACTTAATTAGTCCTCCTCGTACTCTAATAGCTTCCGCAAGGTGACGTGGCATGATGAGGTTATTGATGTAATCCACCGTGATTTCATCCCAACTTGTCACTAGAAGGTGCTGCATCACAGCTACAGTAACTGGTTTAGAGTCGTGGTTGCCAATTTTCTGCCTCAGTTCTGCCCAACGGTTCCTATGGTTCGATGACATTTCAGGATTCTGGATACAGTACACTGCAGGTACCCTACTGTTCTGGCAATGTCCGTTTGCTTCATACTGTTTCTGGACAGTCGAACAATTTGACTCCCTATAACTTCTTCACATGACGGGGCATGACTCTACACCAAGTATCGCAGAGAAAATATCTGAACAAAACGTTAATCTGTTTCAAAAAAGATTATACCAAAGTACACCCTTTTATACAAAAGAGGTGTGTATGTGCGTTTTGACAAACAAATGCTCAAAACAACTTATACAGACCAGAATAACAACTCGTACATGATTGTCCGATCATACGCTACCTTCTCTGTTACTACTTGGGCATTTACTCAATAACTAACCCCATGCATGTAGACAATAACATCAATATAGAATAGTATACAAACGTTTTGGACAAGACTGCATTACCTACCCTCACTCCTTCTTTACCACTCTAATGCGATTACTGATAAAATGCAACCATAAATAATAATAATAATTAAATCAGGTTGAGGAATGGTAAAAGAAGGGACTTGTGATTGAATAAGACATTTAGCAATTAATGATTTATCCACGTGATATTTCACGAAATTATGAAGTGCAAACAAAAGTCATTAAGAAGGGGAGGGAAGTAGAAAGAAAGAAGATCGAAGTTTTGATTTTTGTAAAATCAAGAAACAAAAGGCTGTGACAACAGAACATGCAAATAGCTGTCTATAGATTATCTAGTTATTTCACTTTTAATTGATTTGGCTGTGTCAGAGCAAAGCCATATTGGGCTATCTGCTGTGTCCACCGCGGAGAATTGAACCATGGATTTTAGAGTTGTGAGTCTTTGAACTTACTGCTGTTCCACCGGGGGGACTTTACCTGTAAAAGTGTAAGTAAGGATTTTTTTAAGTTTGTCATATTTCGTATGTAAATGAAACTACTTCATTTGTCCTTTTCTCTCTAGAGCCAAAAAGAACCCCCCACCAACATCTGGGTGTGTATTATCTTAAAGTTTGGTAATGAGCAGATTACCTAACTAACTTTGTCAGGCTCAAATCTGTCAATATTGTTTTAACATGTGTTATCATATCGTTACATCCAAAGTTTTAGTCTATGGAAGGATTCCATTCCCTCTCCAAAAGCTACAACCCTCAATATAGCTTTTAAATAACTAAGAAAAGTAAAATAAAACTGACAGTAATCTATTTATACTTCTCTTTTATACCTTCCTCCAACAAAATGCCCAGCATTGTATGCTCCTCTTAAATGCCTTTTGTAGGCACTGCTTAACAGTATCATGTAAGATAAACATTATTTAATTTCAAAACAAAATATAGTTAAATATTTGGGTTAGAAGTTTGCTTGTGTTTTGTTAGCATTGGTTATATGTACAATTGGATGCATTTCATGTGTAATAAGTCAAGGGCTGTTACAAAGTTTGTTTTCCAGACAAGAGTGTTTAAAGAACGAGACTTCCGTCTGATTAAATTACGGGGAGGATTCGAGCATAAGTTTCTGGACCTCAAATATCAATTGATTAATTAAAATATGCTGTTGGAGAAAACTTTGACTTTAAGGACTTAGACTTTCAGACTTTGTATATTTCCTCTACTTGGCAATAAGTGGAAATGGGTTGCCGGGTGAGAAAGGTAGATTTGTCTCGTTCAAATATCGACCAGAGAAACACTGGGAAATTGAAATCCTCCTACAATACAGAACGTGTAACGACATTAAATTTAACTAAGTTGAACAAAAACTGTATATGCATTGCAAATAAGTGGTTTCTATACGATCATAGTAAAGACAATGCAATCCGTTTCTGTATGAAATGAAGGGGAAAAAAATTATAAGATCCAAATGTCTTTTTACTGTCCTCTTTTATTCATGTTCATGTCTCCGTTCCAACCAAACAAACCAAATCAGGGTTTTTACAAGAAATACAGAGTAAAAGTTATCAATTCTTATGAGCTAAATTAAACCTAATCAATGATTTAAAATACAGGTAATATATAAACAAGTGTTGATCAACTCGTATTTAAGACCATAATTTGTTGTTGTTGTTGCTGTTCTAAACAAAAAACTATTCATTATTTCAAGTGTCACACTAAAAGGTGTTAGAATATGTCTGTGTAACATTAACTTCTTTATTAGCTGATTTGTGGTTTTATTTTTCAAGATTATCACCTCCTCACTTCTCTCTTACTCATTTTAAAAAGGTATTTTATGTTTAACTTCACTCTAAGTTATTTATCGGATTTGAACTTTGACATAAATATCGCAATAGGTTCACAAAATTTCACCTCTATCTCCTCGAAATACAGTCTTTCGGTCTAATAACTGATGATGTTTGAAAATAAATGATTTTTTCCAAACATTTTAACTTCTTATGACACTCCGTTCTTTCAGAGTTCCCAGAAGAATATTTACCTTTAAAAAGTACAACCAAACTATTTGTGCAATGAAATCAATGTCCCAAATTTTAAGATAGAGTCGATAAAGCAAGTTAACAACTTGGGCTGTAAAAGGGTCTGTGTTGACCGTGAAACATTCACACTTCCTAGTTGAAAAGAAAAAATATATAGAAGTAAATTTTTAACCCCTTTTTACTGCAGTAAAAGTATTGGAAAACACATTCAATGATCAACAAGATAGTGAAACTGGAACTTTTCGTAAACCAATGATCAACAGGACCTGTAATGAAAATGACTTAAACATTTGAAGTATGGAACTCGTCTATGCTATTTTTGTTGTTGTTGTTGAACTCTATCGAAATATACCAACACCAATAGGTTTCGTGTTCTAAGATTGTAACGAACGTGAAACTCCGCATAGTATGTTAAACCTGTTTCAGTCAAGCAAAATGAAATAAAAAACGCTCACACAAAGAATAACAAAAAAGTTATGAAACTGAGAGAAAAGTTTTTATTAAGTAATACCATCTAAAACTTTTTGTAGTAAAACGTTTCTTCGAATGTTACAGGACATTGTAATATGTCTTTAAAAGGTCTTCAACGATGCTGTGTACTGTCAATAAGAAGACACAAGATTTAACGATACTGTGTAATGTCAATAAGAAGACACAAGATTTAACAATACTGTGTACTGTCAATAAGAAGACAAGATATTTAACAACACTGTGTACTTTCAATAAGAAAACACAAGATTTAACAAAAACTGTGTACTGTCAATAAAAAACACAAGATTTAACGATACTGTGTACTGTCAATAAGAAGACACAAGATTTAACAATACTGTGTACTGTCAATAAGAAGACAAGATAT